CATTATGTCAGCCCCTCATCCTCGCTAATGAAATACGATCTGCTGCCATTAAGGATTAAGCGGTGTCAAGTCATCCAAAAAACGCTCACCAAGGAAATGCTGCCTATTAAATTTATCTAGAGCTCTCACCCAAATTAGTGCTGCTTTATGCAGGTGGGGAAACTGAGATTCCGTCCAGAAGTAACACCAAGGGACTCTTGTGCCAGGAAGAGAATTTTTTTAAAGTGTGATTCTTAAACTTCATTGCCCATCAGTACTTCTTGGGTTGTGTGTTAAAGATTCACAGAAACTGAGATTCCGTCCAGAAGTAACACCAAGGGACTCTTGTGCCAGGAAGAGAATTTTTTAAAAGTGTGATTCTTAAACTTCATTGCCCATCAGTACTTCTTGGGTTGTGTGTTAAAGATTCACATTCTATTCCTTCAACCCCAAAGTTTTTGACATAGTAGGGCTCAGGGGGGACCCAGATATCTGGGTAATTCTGATGTCATTGGTCTACTTTGAGAAATGCATTATAGCTGTGTTGGGCCCTATACCTGGCTGAGAAGTCACACACCAAGAAGCTGTGTCCTGAGAAGATGGGCAAAGCAAAACTCTGAAGTTGGAAATCTTTGCTTCTGACCCCAGTTTATCTCTGTTTTCAATTTATTTTTTCCCTCTCCAGGCACTTTAGGTGGCCTCACCATTCAGCCCCCATGGAGCTGACTTTCCAAGCTCTGCATATTTTTTTCCTTCTTTTCCACCTGCCCTCCATCCCATGTTAAACCTAGGTGTTGTAAGTGTCATGCCTAAGGTGACATCCTTAGGCTGGCCTAAGTGACAGCCAGATGTCTAATGAAATACTGCTAACACTTCAGTGTGTGGTTCTCCTAAACATACGGTCCTTTTAACAATGGGCTCTGGACAATGTGGGATGCTCACCACAAGGGAGAAATCCCAAATACTATACTTCCAGATGCCCTGGCAGTACGGTAGGGGAGGTAATCTTAGTTTGCTTGCCTCAACTCTTGGCAGGCCTCCTTGAAAAATCAACTCTGTTCATAAGAATGAACAGGATTTCCTTTGCAGACTTACAGAGAAGTTGAAGAGGACAAGATTGACCACAAAAGGCATTAAGAATGCCAAATCCTTGTATTCCAGCTTTGCTGGTCGGGGTGGATAGTATCAACCTGGAAAAAAAATTGGCTAGTATTTCTCAAATTCATTTGATCCAGATATGATACTAATCTGAATCATAAAGCCAGCATGAGAGTTAGCAGTGGGAAATATCTCTTCCCAAAGAAAGGCTGTTCAACCCACAAAGGATCAGCATCAGTATCAGACTTAGAATTTGGAACTAAAGGTCACTTGTGCTCTTCTCTTAGAGACCCTGTTCCAATCCTCCTGGAGGCCAGAGCCATGCACCTCAGCAGACCAGCAGGGGAGGAGGGTTTGCAGGGACAGTGAGAAGGAGGTCCAGGATGGACCTGGCTCGATGAGGAGAAACGGTTCTGTGTTCTGACCCTGGCCCTACTACTTATCAGCTGTATGAACTGGGGCAAATTATATAAACTCATTAGACTCAGTATCCTGTCTTTATTTTTATTTTATTTTATTTTATTTTCTTGTCCTTTTTGAGACCGGCCGCACTGCACTCAGCCAGTGAGCGCACCGGCCATCCCTATATAGGATCCGAACCCGCGGCGGGAACGCTGCTGCACTCCCAGCGCCGCACTCTCCCGAGTGCATCACGGGCTCGGCGCAGTATCCTGTCTTTAAAATTGGGAAGTACACTGACAGTAACCACTCTATTATTATGTCATTCCTATTTCTATTAGCCCTCCTGAAAAAAGTTAGAAAACTAAACTTGATGTTGGGGTACATGAGCCTCTGTGCTCGAGTAGAAGTAGAAATAGTGGGAGAATTTTTTCTCTGTACTTTCTAGCCATAGAGCATGTATACCTTTCTGAATTCATGGGATAGAAGCTAAATTAAAGTATATTGGACTAACATGAAAAATATTAAGGATGTTGTCAAAATCAATTTTTGCACAAAGCTCCTAGTATTTGCCTCTATTAGTAATTTTTTGTTGTGTAAAATTTAATTGGATAAAATAAAGGAAATTGTTGACTGTTTTTTTTTTTTTTAAAGATGACCGGTAAGGGAATCCTAACCCCTGACTTGGTGTTGTCAGCACCATGCTCCCCCAAGTGAGCCACAGGCCTGCCCTAAATTGTTGACTTTAATCCAACATTGTAAACTGCAAAATAACGTTGCAAAGCATTATGCAAAAATTTAGGTTTAAAATTCAAGGTTGGTTTATCTTAACATATGTTTTCCCAGGGGGGAAAAATGCTACATTCTTATGACTACATTCTTAAACTTAGAACAAGATAAAGGAACACATATTCATTACTTAAAAAAAGTTCAGTGTTTCTTACACTTTATTTTTTATTTTTTTGAAATTATTCACTTATTTTGGGGGGCAGCTGGCCAGCAGGGGGATCACATTCTTATGACTACATTCTTAAACTTAGAACAAGATAAAGGAACACATATTCATTACTTATAAAAAGTTCAGTGTTTCTTACACTTTATTTTTTCTTTTTTTGAAATTATTCACTTATTTTGGGGGGCAGCTGGCCAGCAGGGGGATCTGAACCCGTGATGTTGGTGTTATAAGGCTGTGCACTAACCAACTGAGCTAACCAGCCAGCCCCCTTACACTTTATTTTTAAAATACTTGTATTTTCCAGCTTTTTTTGAGGTATGATTGATGAATAATATAAGTTTAAGATGCACAGCATGATGATTTGCTACATATATATAATGTGAAATGTTTACCACAACAGGTTAGTTAACACATCCATTACCTTACATAGTTACCTTGTGTGTGTGAGTGTGGTCAGAACATTGAAGATCTACTCTCAGGAAATCTCAAGTGCACAGTACAGTATTAACTATAGTCATCATGATATACATTGGTCTCCAGAACTTACTCATCTTACAACTGCAAGTTTGTACCATTGTACCAGCATCTGCCTATTTTCCCCAGCCCCCAACCCCTGGCAACAACTGTACTACTCTCTGTTTTCATGAGTTTGCCTTTTTTAGTTTTCACATGTAAGTGAGATCATACAGTATTTTTCTTCCTCCGTCTGACTTATTTCATTTAGCATAATAATCTCAAGGTTTATCCACTTTGCTGCAGATGGCATGCTTTTCTTCTTTTTTAAGGCTGAGTAATATTTCATTACACACACACACATTTGGACCATATTTTCTTTATCTGTTCATCTGTTGACACTTTGGTTGTTATTGTGAATAATGTTGCAATGAACAATGTCTTGGCTATTGTTACTACAGTTTCAACGAACATGTTCAGATATCTCTTTGAAGTATGCTTCTGTTTCCTTCAGATATTCACCCAGAAGTGAGATTGCTGGGTTGTATGGTAGTTCTGTTTTTAATTATTTGAGAAACCTCCATATTATTTTCAATAATGGCTAAACCAATTTATATTCTCACCAACAGTGCACAAGTGTTCCCTTTTCTCCATATTCTCACCAACTCTTGTTATTTCTTGTCTTTCTGATAATAGCCATTTTATCAGGTATGGAGTGATATCTCTTTGTGGTTTTGATTTGCATTTCCCTGATGATCAGTGATGTTGAACACATTTTTATCTACCTGTTCACCCTTTGTATGTCTTCTTTGGAAAGACATCTATTCAGGTCTTTTACCCATTTTTAAACCATATTATTATTATTATTATTGTTTTGCTACTGAATTGTATGAATTCCTTATATATTTTGGGTTTTAATCCCTTATTAGATGCATGGTTTGCAAATATTTCCTCCCATTCCACAGGCTGCTGTTTCATTTTAGCCATTGTTTCTTCTTCTGCACAGAAGCTTTTTAGTCTGATGTAGTCCCGCTTATTTATTTTTCCTTTTGTTGCTTGAGCTTTTAGTGTCATATTCAATAAACCATTGCTAACACTGATGTAAGGAAGCTTTTTTCCTATGTTTTTTTCTAGTAGTTTCACTTCAGGTCTTTAAGTCTTTGTCCATTTCAAGTTAATTTTTGTGAGTGGTGTAAGATAGGGGGTCCAATTTTATTCTTTTGCATGTGAATAGCCAGGTTTCCCAACACCATTTATTGAAGAGACTATCCTTTCCTCATTGTGTAATCCTGCAATCTCTGTCAAATATTATTTGACTGTACATATGTGGATTTATTTCTGGGCTCTCTGTTCTTTTCCATTGGTCTATTGTCTGTTTTTATGCCAGTACCATAATGTTTTGATTACTATAGCTTTGTAATATAGTTTGAAATCAGAAAGTGTCATGCCTCCAACTTTGTTCTTTCTCAAGATTACTTTGGCTATTCACAGTCTTTTGTGGACCCATATGAATTTTAAAATTGTTTTTTCTATTTCTATGAAAAATGCCATTGGAATTTTGATAGGGATTGTACTGAATCTATAGATTGCTTTGAGTAGTATGAACATTTTAACAATATAAATTCTTCTGATCCATGAACACAGGATATCCTTCCATTTATTTGTCTTCATTTTTCATTAATATATTATTTTCAGTGTACAGATCTTTCACTTCCTTGGTTAAATTTATTCTTAAGTATTTTATTCTTTTTGATGCTATTTTGGTTTTGGTTCTTTTTTTTCTTTTTCTTGCCTAAGTGCTGAGGCTAGGACTTTCAGTACTATATTGAATAGAAGTGGTGACAGTGGATACAATTTTCTCATTCCTATGAATAATTTTTAAAATTGTGGGTTGAGATAAAAATTGCTTGGTGCTACTTACAAACATACATTCATTTATCACATCAACATATTCTCATTCATTCATTCAAAATCAATTATTGAACAAGTATACATGCCAGACACTGGATAGCAAGGTCATACAGGATACAGTGGTAAATAACAGAGAGAGAATAAGTATTTATAAACCAGACTTTCCATTTTAGCATTTAGCATGCACTCCCTCGCTGAAACTTACATTTATGTGTCCATTCTGGATAAGTCTTGCAGAAAGCTTGAGGAACACTGTCAGGGATGCACATAGCAGGGCAAAGCTCAGACACATGTCAAGGGCTTGAAGTGTCAAGTGGTACTCTCCATAGTGGGGTGGGTCCACACAAACTGAAAGAAATTTTGCATATGGAAAAGGAAAGGCAACTGAATAACCAAGGTAATTGCTTCCTGCAACCCCTGAAAACGAGTAGAAGCAATATGGGCCAAGGAGAGCAGATTTCAAGGCTATTGCAAAATGAAATGGACATCCCATAATGCTCAGAAGCACAAAGGTGAAACTAGCTTCCCACTGAAAATAAAGCAGAAACACATTGTCACTTTGGGGATGAGATACTTCAAAAGCTTCTTAGCAATATGAAGAAAGAAAGAGATGCTGGCTGTCAATCTCTCCTACTGGGACATGAAGGAGAAATAGGCTACAACTTTGTCTTTAGGCCCTTGTTTTCTCAACTCCAACCTACACCATAGGAGAACAGCATATCAACCAACTGGGGCAAAAATGAAATGAATTCAATTCAATAAACATTTATTTATTTATCTTCTATTATGTGTAGAGAACTGGTCTGGGATAAGACAAACAAAGATGAGTAAACAGAATCCCTACTCTAGGACCTTGCTATTCAGGGTGTGGTCCATGGTCCAGTAGCAGTGACATCCTGGGAGCCTGGCAGAAATCCAGAATCTCAGACCTCACCCAGATCTATTGAGTTAGAATCTGAATCAGAATTTTAACCAGATCTCCAGTTAATTCACATATACATTAAAGTTTGAGAAGAATCGCCTTAGCTGTGGGAATAAAATTTACAATCAGATAAGGTAATCTTTTTGTATCATGGAATTACCTGGCTTTCTACTGTTAAAATGTAAGATATCATAGATTTGTCATCCTTCTTTAGAGGAAGAGATAACAGGGAGATTGGAAAAAGATCTCAGATTGAGGAGTTGAGAATTAAAAATACATTATTAAAAGTAGAGAATCCATCCCTTCAAGATGAAATTCAGGAGCACTAACACTGGCTCTGTCCTTCCCAAATACAATAATAATCATAAGAACTTGTAGAAAATGTTTGGAGTAGAAACCAGATAATTATTTATTTAAAAAATAGTTTATTGATGAAATCCATCATAGTAAGGCTTCAGTTAAACCAGATTGAATTATAATTGGAAAGCGTATTCTCTAAGTTCCACCCTGAACTGGTAGTGATTTGACCTTCGAACCCACTCTACCATCCCACTCTAGCCTATAGATTTACCAGGTATCTGTGGGTCCACTCTTTGTAAGCCAATAGTAGAAGCACACCAGCTGTGATAGCCTGTGAAAAGAAAATGGAAAAATAACATCCACAATAGAACATACCGTTGCAAAGAGTTCAATTTGTCTCTCAGTTTAACAACTTTAACATGAACTAGAAGGAACAGCAAATGGCTAAATGGATTTACAGCTCTGATCTCCTCGTCAGCCATGAAAGAAACTGTGATGACAATGAGGAAAATAAGCCATTAGTGTCATAAAGACATGATTCATATAAGCTCATTTTTTGATTCTCTACTTTGCCTTTGCCATCACAGTTATAACCCTACTACTGTAAGGTGTCACCGTAATAAAAGCTTGGCTTTATAATTTCTGCCATATGTTTTATTTTGATTAATTGTCTATTGTTCATCTTTCTCACAATCTGCTAAAATTGCAAATGGGAGGAACGAGAATGGAAACCTGTCACAGAACCCTGAAAACCGTCTCAGACATGACACTGTCTTTTGCTATTGGCTTTCTTTTGAGATTCCACAGCCTCAAATCTGCTAAAATTGCAAATGGGAGGAACGAGAATGGAAACCTGTCACAGAACCCTGAAAACCCTCTCAGACATGACACTGTCTTTTGCTATTGGCTTTCTTTTGAGATTCCACAGCCTCAACCTGCTGGTGGGATACACATGCATGATCCCTGTTTCTCAAATAACGAAGATTATCACTAGAATGAATACTGATGTGACGTTTATTGTTCTGGGTGCAGTGGTATCCAGCTTTTTAAAAGAGAGTTCTTTATAGTCTCCGAGGAAGAAAACGCACCCAAAGCACAGAATGAAAATAATTAAACAAAGGAGAATTCACCAGAACTAAGCAGCAGATAATGAAAAAAAAAAATATCTGGGCTCTTTGATTCAGCACCAGGTCTGATGAAAGAGACCTTTGTGGTCATTAAGACTGGAAATTGTTTATTCCCAATCCATATTAATCATTTGCTCTTGACCAAGGGATGTTCTGAGCTTAAGAGAGAAAATCAGGAAGAGATGTGTCTAAAATAAGATATAGAACATGGATAGTTCTAAAAATAATACAATTTGGGTTTTTGACAGAGAAATAAACATGACTGTATGTATAGAATCAACATATTTAAGGGGGAAAAATCATTGCTTTTACAAATACGTTTTTGTGATATGCTGCTTTTGAAGCTCTGGGTCTGGCATATTTATTGTTTTGAGACTTAGCTTTTCATTTTCCTGGCATATTGTATTTCGAATGGTGGATGCAGAGAATTTGAGAGAAAGGTTAGCACACACACATACTCACTTACACAAAACTTCTCATGTAGCTGAGCCTGAAATTCCAGACCTGGCATCTCCATACCATAAAACTCCCATGGATAATAACAGAACCATCTGTAGTCAAAAGAGGTTCCTGTCTTGATTCTCCAAGAGGAAAGTTTCCAAGGGACCCTATGGAGGTTGAGCCAGCATAAATAGTACAACAAAACAGAAGAATTATGAAGAGCAACCGTGGCCCTCACACTGATGCTCTGTGTTGTAAGCCTGGGGCTAGTCTATGCTTTTCCCAGGCATGGCCTGCAATTGACACATCCCTCCTCTGTCATTAGCAGCAGAAAGAGAAACACTGAAGCAAGATAAAAGCAGAGGAGATGGGCTCACACTCCTCTGCTGGTTTAACGCCCAGCAGATAGCTGACATTATCAGATGCTTAGATTCCAGGTTGCCTTAACTACTTTGGCATGGGCTGTTTCTTTCCTTTCAAAAGTTGAAAAATGCAGCCGAATTGCAGTCGCCTGCTACTTCTGTTGTAGCTGCCAGCTTGAATTTTGCTTTGTTTACACAAAACCTTGAAAAAGATCTTTCATGGAGCGGCTGAGTATGAATGCAGTTCAGTACCTTGTCAAATCCAGCCTGCGAGTGGCAGCCCGAGAGCGGGCCCAGCGCCCCCGCCAGGCACGCAGACAGCGCCGGCTGTTCCCCCCGCCAGTCCCGGCCTTCCCTCTGCCTTCTTCCACGTCTTTTTGTAAGTTTTATTTTCAGGAGAGAAGAATTTAAAAGGAAGAGATTTGAGGGTAGGAAAGACAAGAGGGAGAAGAAAACATGCGAGAGGGGGTGTCTGAAGGTGAAAAGTTGCGCGAGGCGGGGCAGCCAGGTTGTGAGGAAGGACGGAGCGGAGGTGCTGGTGGCAGCGGGTGCGACAAGGCGAAGGCGCCATCCTGCACTCTCCTTCACAACTCCTCCTCCTCTTCTTCTTTTTTATAAACAAAATAAAACACTTGCTTTCATTTATTTAAATTTCCTTTAACTATTTCTTAAATATACATTAATGTCAAACCATAATCCCTATACTTTGTTATTTTCATTTTCCATGCTCCATTTTAGCATTCATCTATGTGCATATAATTTTACCTATTTTATTCAAAAACATAAGCAAGTAGCTCGGATCTTCTTGACACGCTATTGAGTTGCTCTCTGGGTACTTCCAGAGCATTCATCTATGTGCATATAATTTTACCTATTTTATTCAAAAACATAAGCAAGTAGCTCGGCTCTTCTTGACACGCTATTGAGTTGCTCTCTGGGCACTTCCAGGGATATTACTTGGGTTTTGCAACCATGGCTGCTAACACTTGGATTGCATAATTGTGAGCCCTCCCACTAAATCTTTAAATTGCCTGAGTAAAGGACGCAGTTCTCAGAAGCAGATGAAGTGAAGGAAGCAGGGAGCAGTCACAACAGAAACAGAAACTTTTAGAGGCATCATATTAATGTGGGATAATGTATTCACTTATAAACATCTGTTGTGGGTTTACTACAAACAAGGGATGTAATAGGCACTGTGCAGATAAAGTAATGATAATAACTGTTAACATTTGTTGAGTGCTTAATATATGCAAGGCATTATGCTAAACACTTTACATGTGTTAACTCGTTTAATCCTCATAATGATCCTCTCATATAGATATTCTCCCACTTTTTAAATAAGGCACAGAGAGGCTAAATAAGATGAGTAAGATCACCAAATAACTGCACAAATAACGGCTTCAAATCTCATTAGAATTTACAGTCCAGGTGTGAAAATAATGCACATATAAAACTGTCTACAAAATTAGGTAAGAAAAATGAGCACTTTCTATGTGAGAAGACTTGAGTGATGAGATACTACCTCTAAAGGAAAAATCAATGGTGGAGTCACTGTGGGGAAATAGGATCTGAAGCAGGTTTGCAGGATGGATGTGATTTAAATGGGGGGTGACAGAGAGAGGGCAGTCCGGGCAGTGGAAGCAGTACGTGCAAGGGTGAGGAAGAGGAAGTCATGCCCGGGGAACAGTGAGTGGCAAGCCCAGACCGGCGGAGGATCAGTTCCTGGCAGGGGAGAGTAGAAAATTGGAGTAGAAAGCCATGAAACAGCAGGGCAAGGAGGGCCTCAAAATTTAGGCTTGCATATCCGAACTTTGTTTGGGGACCATGAGCACCACTAAAGGTTTTTGAAAGAGGAGCCAGCCTGACTACGAAAGAGGCTTAGAAAGATGTGCCAAATGGAGTGAGGCCTAGAGGGCTCTGTAGGACCCTGATCTTCAGACTTCTTTTAAAAAAAAACTCAACCTATGGTACATAATACATTTTGCATGGTGGCCTAGTTATAAATATTTCTATTTCTAACCAAAATAATACTTAACCCTTATCATGTGTGATGCATTCTAATAGTCTCTATTCTATTCTATTGCATTCCATTCCATTCCATTCTAGTCTATTCATTCATTGTGATTGGGCCTAGCTACCCAATAGATTGACTTTATAATCTGCTAATGAGTAGGTTCCCACAGTGGCCATGGAAGTTGTATTAGTCCATTTCTGTGGCTTATAACAAATTACGTGGAACTGGGTAATTTGTAAGAAAATGAAATTTATTGCTTACAGTTTTGGAGACTGGGAAGGCCAAAGTCCAGGGCACATTTATGGTGAGGGCCTTCTTTGGTGGTGGCTTTACAACAATGTGGGGGTCTCACATGGTAGAAATGGTGGAGCAGAGAGAGAGAGAGAGAGAGACTAACCTCCGCATATGCTGTCCTTTCAATGCCCTCAGAACCATGTCCCTGATCACCACTATTAATCCATTCACTACTACATGGTCCTATACTCTAATCACCTCTTCAAGGCCCCACCTTTCAATTACCATAGCAGGATTTCCCACCCTCAACAGTGACAGTGGGGATTTAAGCTTCAGTGAGGTTGGGGGGGCGGTCCAATCTACAGCAGAAGGTATCTAGGCATAAAATCAGAGAGGGGTGGGAAGTAGTAGGGATGGGGGGCTACACAATGAGAAGGAAGAGGAAGGAATGCATAGGGATATATCTCATAAAAGTCAAAGCTATATGGCAACTGATTTGAGTTGGGCTGGAGTTGGGCTTGTTTAGAGCACTGCTGCCCAAAGTACAGTCCAACCCTCGGTGTTGCTCCCACACCTCGCTCAGCCAGTGAGCGGCCGGTCTGTATGTGGGATCCGAACCCTCGGCGGGAGCGCCGCCACGCTTCCCAAGCGGTGCACCATCACTGTGCGCCACCGGGCTGGCCCATAAAAGCTGTTTTTACTGCTGTAACCACTGTCTGGTTCTGGTTTTTCAACAAGCAGTTGGAAGTCACATGACTGTTGAAGCTATAAGAGACTTGAGTCTAACAGTTGAGAAAACTGGGGACTCCATGGCTAAAGCCAGCCCTCACTTTCTCCCAAATTCCTGTCTCTAAGCAGGGTTCTGTGTGCACCACTGTGGCTCGCCATTGGCCAAGTCACTAATCTTGCCAGTCACAGGTCCTGTGTTTAAACCCACTGTCCTTCAGTCTTCATCAGAGCTTGACTTATAAGCCACATTTTCTAGGATTAATAGAGCTCAGTCTTTAAGGTACTGTGATCTCCTCACTGCATACCTTCTAGCAGCTGATGCCTTTAAATAACCTAGCTCAGAAATTCTAGGAAAACTGCTTATCATGCGGCTGTCAGAATGGAGCTAGGAGAATCTGAGAACCAATATTTGTGAAGTATTTAGAAAGCCTTGAATGAAAGGCATTGAACAAATACAAAGTACTGTATCACATGCAAAAATCTATCTCTTACAAGTCTCAAAAGAAATATGGAGTCGTTTACAAAAAGAAATGCCAGCATGATTGAAATGTACAAATTATCTTTTCACCAGAGGAAGACATACTTTGGAGGCAAGTTAAGAAGTGATTGGCAAGGGAGGTTGTGGAATGAATCAGAAATTTGTGAAGTTGACCCTGATGAGACAAAATTGTGGTTCTGTAGAAAACTCATTAGGAAAAAAAATCACGTTGTTCCAAATTTAGACATTATTGAAAGAGTGAGCATTCTATTGCTTTCCTTCTAATGAGGATTTTTTTTCTTCTTTAATATAAATACCAGCTTGGCCTTTAGTCCTTGCAACCTCATCAAAGTTCAACTGCATAATAAGTTCTGTACCATCAGAATGGAGAGCATGGATTCAGTCACTTATTCAACAAAATTTATTAAATAATATTTACTGAACATCTAAGTATGTGCTTTCCTCTGTTCCAGGTTCTGGAGATATAACAGTAAACAAAATAGAAAAAAAAAATCTCTGTTCTTGTACAACATACTTTTGGAGGGGGTTGGGGAGAGATAAAACAAACAATAAATAAATTACATAGTAATCTATAATTTATCAGTAAATTATATAGTATCCTAGATGGTGATAAGGGCTATGGGGGAAAAATAAAGCAGGGTATGAGAAACTGGGAATGCCAGTCAGGGGAAGAGGGTTGAAATTTTAAATAGGATAATGAGAAAGACCTCGGTGAGAAAGTGACATTTGGTCAAGAATTGAGGGATGTTAGGGAGTGAGCCAAGCTCAGGAAGAGGCATCGGGTAGAGAGCAGGCAGTGCAAAGGCCCTGAGGCAGAAACACACCTTGGCATGTTTGAAAACAGCAAGAAGCCAATGTGATGGGAGAGAAATGAGCTAAGGGAAGAGTGGTAGGAGATGGGGCCCAGGAGGTAACAGGATGGGGAACCCGGCAGGTCATTAGGGCATAGGACAGGAGAGTGAGGCAAGTTGCAAGGGATGAAGAAAAAAAGGTTTGGACAGAGAGTAGGCGCAAATGAAAAGCATGATAGTAACTAGCATTCGAGTAGGGCTTTAAAATTGACAAAGCTTTTTATTATACAATCTTCATTCAAATTGTGTTCATATTCACTGAGCATCTTAGTGTTAAACAGTTTCACATGTGGGTTCTCTTTCCCTGCAAAATTCTTCATTTTACAGGTTAAGGCAATAAGGAACTAGTTGACTGAGGGTCCTGCTTTTGACCACATACTGAGAACATCACAGTCAGGATTTGAACACATCCTCCTCCCCAGATCCTGTATCTCCGACTCCGCTTCCCCATGTTGCTGCCCCTGAAATCAAATAGCCACCAACTGGCTGTGTGCTAGAGACACATCATATCATTTCTCTGGGCCTAATTGGTAAAACAGACATTTGGCCTAGAGCAAGCCTACATTCAATAATCTGTAATCTTAATTAAAATCACCAATACTTGTGGAATGTATTATGACATATTCTGCAGAGATGGTCAAAGAACTATAAGAAAAGAATGCAGGGTTGGACTACAATTATGGTTTTGTTAAACTTTGGGTCAGCTGTAAAATCAGAATTAAAAAAAAATTAAGTGGAATAGAAAATATCAATACATTTCACATAAATGGTTAAGCACTGTTTTGTGAAACTTTTGTTTTATATATATATACACATATGTAAACATATATCTATTTATCTAGAGAGAAATATGAAGATGCATTTATGTACATTTCAGATCCTGATGTAAAATATTTTTCTGACTCTGAGTCATCAACAAAAAGTTTGGAAGCCATTTGAATAAATGTGACTGCCATCTTTTCATTTTAGTAGAAGTTTATTTTTTTTTATTTTTATTTTTTTTCCTTTTTGTCTTTTTTACTGACCGGTGACGGGATTGCAACCCTTGGTGTCGCACCCGCACCGGGGACTGGCAACGGGATCGCAACCTTCAGTGTTGCGCCCACACCGCGCTCAGCCAGTGAACGGGAACTGGTCTCCACGTGGGATCCGAACCCTCGGCAGGAGCGCCACTGCGCTCCCAAGCAGCGCACTCTGCAGTGCGCCACTGGGCCGGCCCGTCATTTTAGTAGAAGTTTAATAAATTTTTTTTGAACAACTGTGTGGTTTTGGGTAGGTGCTGGGGAAAAGAAGGAAGGTCAAGACTGGGGTGGTAGATGTAAAAGAATGTATTAAAAAAGAAAAGAAAAGAGAAAGAAAAACAACACCCAATGTTTTTCTTGCTCAGTCTACCCTCCCACAATCCCGCTTCCCCCCATCTGTACACCATCATTACACCCCACAAGACTGAGCTCCTTTGAGATCAAGACCTTGTTTTATCCTCCATTGTAACCCAAGGACATAGTAGGCTATTAATACATATTTATTTAATAAGTAGATTAAAAATATATTTCCTGGGTCTCTCAATATATTTAATAAAATATTTTCCTACCAAAGCTCCATTCCAGATGGGACAAACAGTCCAAACACTCCATCCTGTGAACCAAAGCTTGTAAGAGAAGACAGGGAAGAAAGCAGTAACTCCAGAGAACACACTGAGACTCCCCAGAGTAACGAGAATTCGACCAGCGACCTGGTATAGTCCCTTCATTTTTCTCTGTGACTTGAGTCCTTGATCTCAAAGATATTTTGTTACTAAAACATGAGAGTGTTGCAGGCCTAGATAAACAGAAGTTTCTTAGAGACAGTAGCCATGATACGTGTGGACTGTTGATCTAATTGCAAATAAGACTCTATTTGTTTCACCAAAGGTGAAATGTAATAAAATAATCCTCGATGTAAATTTGACACAATAAAAGTTCTAATACTAATTTATCTCAGAGAGAGAGAGAGAAATCATTGCTTGTCTTGGTGTTGCTGCCTTGATTCCCCTCATGTTGCCGTGTCCTGGGGAGTGACCACTTCCTGGCTTAATCTGATTCAAAGGCTTGCTGACTGAGCTAATTGTGTCTCCACTCAACCTGCCTGGTGGTTCCAGCATAAAGCCAACATCCTTTGTGCACGATAGATCCACGTTCCCGGCACAATTTCCCACGAAAAAAAGTAAAAATAAGCACTCTGACCACTTTTTATTACATTTAATTTAAATGCTTTAAAGCAAAAACAAGACCTTCACTTCCTCCCTAAGTTTAATTCCACTACAATTATTTTTGAATTTTTGATAAAGCTTTTTGGTACGGATTCATCCCCCAGTAGGCATAAGCTTCATTATGGAATTATGCATTGTTTTCACTAAACCAGCTTCATCTTGGTTATTTATTTATTAATTCAATTTTCAAGTAAAGTGCAAAGGTGGAAATGTTGGCAGTTGCAAAATAAAATAAACTTTGAGGAGTAATCTATCAGTTGAATAAGATATTGATCTCCATTCATTCTTGAATCATAATTCTAATTTGAAATGTTAGACTTATGTACATTTAAGCAATTGCAAAAGTTCATCTTTTAATTTTTCACGCATTTGAGAAAGTGGTGTGCATTTGCTTTCAATTCATAGGATATGTTTGAATGTCTCTTCCAAGATAATATCTTGAAAACACAGACCACTTTCTGAATAATTTTCCTATTCAATATTAATATTTTTTTCTTTTTACTTAAATAAAATGATAAAAAATAATTTTTATGGGTGGAAATACAGTAGTTTAGAATATGGATTTTGAGTCACAGAGCTGGAATCTGATTATGGTTCCAGTCTCTACCAAGTTTGTGTCCTTGGGCAAAGGCAAGTTACTTAACTTTTCTAGCTCTGTTTCTTCATATGGAAAATAGCAATAAAATTAGTATTAATCTCACCAAGTGGTTGGTTGAGAGGATTAAATGAGCTAATACATGTAAATATTTAGCACTGAGCTCAGCATAGCAAAGATGTTCAGGAAGTCACCTGTTATTATTTTGGATGTTCCATCTTTGGAGCTCTTTCAGCATGGGATAAAGGCACAGACATTACAGTTTCTTTTATCCATCATCTCATAAACATTAGGGTTGACTTTTCCTGATCAATTCGGTAAGAACTCCCAAAGGACCCTTCCATGTGTGGGGAGAAAAACTTCTCCCTGATTCTCTGCTTTTTTTCTTCCTGTCTTTGTATCTTTAATAAGCCACTCCACAGTATGACCTAGATTTTGAAGTGGTTGCATTCTTGGATACACGGAATTCAGGAAACCACTTCAGGCTTTCTGCTATAGCTGCTGTTTCCCATCTCTTCTCAATACTATGGGCTATACTCTCTGATTTTTTTTCTGAATCACTAGATAAATTCCACAAGAGACCTTGCAAGTCTTCTACATCCCTTAAATATGCAAGACATCCCCAACTCCTAGAACCGTGTCTGGCACAGAGTAAGTACATACAGTAATATGTATTTGTTGAATTAATTAATTCATTCATTAGGCTTTTCAGCTATGCATTTGGGGTCCTGTGGAGCTGAACAAGTGTAGCTCTATGTGTGTCCACCATTGCCAGGGTGTGCAAATGCTAGTTTGTTCCCTCGATACATGGGGAACAGGTCTAGAATGAAGAAAGACTTGTTTGTGTTAGTATTTGGTTTGAACTATTTTGACTTTTTCCTTTACTTTTTATCTCAAGGTTATAGCTACATGGTATGTCAATATACTGTGGGTCAGATCACTCTCTCCTGTTTGCATGTTTGTAAAATAAAGACTGTTGAAATACTCATGTTAAACAGTACAAAGATGGCAAACAAAGAGAATATTTTTGTTTTAATTTTGGGGGTCTTTTTAAGTGCTTGTGACACTCACAGTCTAACCCTGACATGGTCAATGTGACTTGTAAATTGAATTTATTAGTGATTAGAAGAGTCGTTGCCACTTAACAAAGAGAAGGGATGGAGCTAGAACTAGAGATTTCTCTCTCTGTTTTTTCCCACAGAAGTCTATTCACTTTAATTTCATTAAAGCAAGGACACTTTCAGTGAGAACAGCTCCTGGGAAAGAAGAGAAAGTGTCCCTCTGCTCCTGTCCTAGGTTTCTGTATGCCCAGTGTCCCAGCAGAAAGCAGGGCTTGCAGGGCACCTGCTCCCTCTATCTCTCTCATTTGGCATTAACTTACTGGAAGGTGGGTCTGTAAGTTCTCTGTGGAGGTGGTGGAGTCAAGGTCTTTGCAGACTGCTTTGCAGACCCTACTTTCTCCCCAACCCAGGAGATCCCAAGATCTTGGCTCAGGGAAGAATGGGGAAAGGTCCACCAAACTCTTCAATCCAGCTTTGTCACTAAAAACAAAACAACTAAACAAATAAATCCAAATTGACATTTTTTTTTTTTTGTCTTTTGTCTTTTTCTGTGTCCGGCAACGGATCGCAACCCTCAGTGTTGCCCCCATACCGGACCGGGACCGGCAACGGGATTGCAACCCTCGGTGTTGCTCCCGCGCCTCGCTCAGCCAGTGAGCGGGAACCGGTCTGTATGTGGGATCCGAACC